GAATGACTTTACCTCTCTCAATTTTAGTTTCTATATTTGATGCTTCTCTTGATTTTTTTATCCTTTGATATGTTGATACCTAAATATTTTACCTCTTTTTAAATTGGGATATTACAAACTGTGTTTAAAGAGTGATCATGAAGAGTCATTATTTCACATTTCTTCATATTTAAATGTACACCAGAGGCTTTAGAAAACTTTGGTATTTCTGTCAGCACCTTTGAACTTTGACTAGTATTTTTTTAAAAACAAGGTTGTATCATCTTCTAGTTGAGTAATTACCAAGGAAATTCCCATCACTTTCAGCGGTTCAATATTTAGATTATTTTTAATAAAAATTGCTCAAAGTTCTGCCACATTAATAAATAGTAAAGGGGTCGCAGGACAACCTTGACGGATGCCTCTTTTTATATTGAAGCATTTGGTCATTCCAGAAACACTGAGCTATTAATGTCCGTATAAAGCAGCTGAAGGATGTTTCTACATTTTTCCCCAAAGCCAAAATAATCCAAGGCCGTCACAGATCGTGACGATCGTGAGAAATAACTTGTGTTGTGAATAGGCGCTATAGAAATAAACTGAATTGAATTGAACTGAATTTCGGGCGCCATCTCTGGTTGTGGGAACTCTTCCACCCATTCCCAACAGCAATGCAGCTCCTTCAGCCATGGTTATCTAACATAAGGAACCATAGATGTTAACATGAGATGATTCTGTGTAAAGAGTAAATCTCATGTGAAGTTGATAGATAATAAAATATTAAACAATCATTTTATATTTTATATTCATTAGATCCATCCTTTTTTCTTCCTGTCCATGCTTTGATCTATTCTATTCTTATCTACACACACACACACACACACACACACACACACACATATAAAAGTATATTTACAATTCTGCTTCTATTGTTTTCCCAGAACAGACTCAATAAAGTACATTTCTCTATTGAAACCTGTTTAGTTAGTTTTGGTAAATAAAACCAGAGGGAACAGAAGAATCACCAAGCAGGGAGAGGAGGCTATACAGCAAAGGCAGGGAAAGCACAGCATAGATCTGCTTTTGCATATCGTCCATCATTTCTTGGCCAAATCCCTCAGAATTCGCATGCAAGGTAAAAAGGAACAGCAACGGTTCATTCTCACCTGGATCCAGGTGATCAGAGGGAGGATTTCTACTGATCCAATGCAATCTTCTATTAGACATAGCAGAGTGGAGATGACTTTAGGAAGGGAACGATTTCCCTTTAATGTGCCACAGCACCTTGCTGCTTCCATGATGTCCTGCAGCAGAGAATCCTAATAAAAAAAGAAATAAAAATTTGGAGAAGGTAGAAAACAGTGAAATAAGGCAAAAACCATAGCAGGTCTGGTCTCAGCTTCCCCTGCAAACCAAAAATATGGTTATCAGCACGACAACAATGAAGGATGTGAAAAAAAATATATATATATATATATACTCTCTCAATCTATCTATCTATCTATCTATCTATCTATCTATCTATCTATCTATCTATCTATCTATCTATCTGTCTATCGATCGATATATCTATAAACTGTAAGTTTATAAACAGTTGGTGAAAAGTTGCTGGAAATTAGTTTTTGGAACTTGGGATGTCTGTATATGTTTGTACCTGATGTTTCACAGGGACCCCCTGATTAAGGCTCATTTTTACCCATCAGGCCACCAGCTAAGCTAATGAGCTAAAATGCTCACAATTATTTTTTTAAGAGAATGGCACTAATCCTGTTTTATGATTAACATACCTTTTTAAAATAGAAATTTAAGTCATCATTTATTTTGAATACCAGAGGTTTCCACATGCTGTTGAGGTTCTTTTTAATCAAACACAATTATAAGTAAAATAACTAGAGATCTAGTAAAATAATCTATTCTGCTTTATTCTATCTCTATAGTTATGCTGCTATAGGCTTAGACTGC